AAATGGAGTCCAAGCTGAAGTTGAAGCCATTAGAGAACTCCCATTAGAATTAAATGATGGCTTTGTCCTTAAGCTTACTGATGTCCTTTATGTACCCTCTTTGCGTAGAAACTTAATAAGTGTTTCACGTTTAGACGATAATGAATTTGATTGCCATTTTGGCAATGGCAAATGTAAGATAATGTTTAATCATAAATGTGTTGGTCTTGCCTTCCGACAAGATGAGCTTTATTTGTTATCACTTTCTGAGATTGTTAATGTTGTGGGCACTGAGACTGAGAATGAGAATGCATCCTCGTCTATGAATGCAAGAAATAAACGGAAGAGAGTTCGTGATGTATCATCGAAATTATGGCACTGTCATTTAGGCCATATTTCGAGGGAGAGAATAGACAAATTGATTAAGAAATCAATTCTTCTGTCATTAGAATTTTCAGATTTAGAACAATGTATTGATTGCATAAGAAAAGTATGTTAAGAAAATAAAGAAAGACGTCAAACGAAGCGCATGAATTTTGGAAATAATTTACACATATATATGTGGTCCTTTTCCTATGAAAAGTGTGGATGGTCAAGATTCATTTATAACATTCACAGATGATTATTCTCATTATGGCTATATTTATCCAATTAAGGAAAGATCAGAAGCATTGAATAAATTTAAGATATTCAAGACTGAAGTAAAAAATCAGCACAATTTAAAGATTAAGATAGTAAGATCCGATCATGGGGGGAGTACTACGGTTGACATACCCCATATGGCCAAGTTCCTGGACCTTTTGCAAAGTTCTTATAGGAAAATGGCATAATTACCCAGTACTCTACACCAGACGAGCCTTAGTAGAATGGAGTAGCTGAAAGACGCAACCGTACCTTAATGGATATGGTGAGAAGTATGATAAGTTACTCCACTTTACCGTTAAGTTTATGGATAGAGGAGTTAAAAACCGTCACTCATATTCTCAATCGAGTACCAAACAAGTCAGTGCCCAAAACATCATATGAGTTGTGGATAGGAAGGAAATCCTCACTTAACCACTTACGTGTGTGGGGTTGTCCAGCTAAGGCTAAAGTATTTAACCCAAACATTGGAAAGCTAGACTACAAGACAGTCAGTTGCCATTTTATTGGCTATCCAGATAAGTTAAAAGGTTTTCGTTTCTACTGTCCTAACAAACATATGAAGTTTGTAGAAACAAGACACGCTGTGTTCTTCGAGGATGATATGGTCAGGAGGAGCATGGTAGAGCGAGAAATTAACTTTGAGAAGAAGCGGGTATACGTGCCCACTCTGATAGTTCAGCAACCATTTTTCTCACTACCTGTTACTACTGCACCAACAGTACAAAGACACTGTAGTGACAACACCTGTTGTTAGTTCTTCCATGGCAACAATAAATGAACATGAGGAACCTATCCTTTAGGATCCGATAGAACAAGTTGTCGCACATGAGGAAAAACAACAACAGCCCCATATAGAACAAACGCCAACTAATGAGGCCCCCATAAGGTCTCAAAGAGCTAGAAAACCAGTCATTCCCGATGACTACGAAGTCTATGAGAATTTCGAATGGATGGTGATCTCACCTTATTTGAAGAAACCATGAGAAGCGCTCACTCATCAAAGTGGCTTGAAGCCATGCAAGATGAAATGAGATCGATGAGCACCAACGGTGTTTGAGACTTAGAAAGAATTCCTAAAGGAGCCAAGACAGTAGGCTGTAAATAGGTCTACAAAACTAAATATGACTCCAAAGAGAATGTAGAAAGATTTAAAGCGCGACTTGTGGCGAAAGGTTTTATGCAAAGAGAAGGAATAGATTATAATAAGACATTTTCTCCAGTCTTATGCAAGGATTCTTTTAGAATCATAATGGCGTTAGTGACGCATTATGATTTAGAATTACATCAGATGGATGTAAAGACGGCTTTCTTTAATGGAGATTTAAATGAGAATGTCTACATGACACAACCAAAAGGTTTTGTCATAAAAGGAAAAGAACATATGAGATGTCGCCTGAAGAAATCCATTTATGGATTAAAACAAGCCTCTAGACAGTGGTATTTAAAGTTTGATGGAACGATAAGGAAGTTTGGATTTAAAGAGAATGTGAAGAACAATTGCGTTGATACAAAGTTCAAGAATGGTAATTCATTTTTCTAATCCTGTATGTGGATGACATCTTACTCGCTAGTAATGATGTTAATCTACTACTGGAGACGAAGAAGTTCTTGTCCTTAAATTTTGACATGAAAGGTCTCGGTGAAGCTTCGTTTGTTTTAGGAATAGAGATTCACCGAGATAGAAGAAAGGGGGTTTTTGGATTATCGCAAAAGGCATACTTAGAAAAGGTTCTAAAAAAATACAGTATGCATGCGTGTAAGCTTTCACCTGCTCCTATAGTCAAGGGTGATAGTTTTGGAGAATCCCAATGTCCCAGGAACCAATATGAGATCAATCGAATGAAAACAGTTTCATATGCTTCAGCTGTAGGAAGCTTACAGTATGCTCAAGTATGTACACGTCCTAACTTAGCTTTTGTTACTAGGATACTTGGCAGATATCAGAGTAATCCAGGAATAGAACATTGGAGAATGGTGAAGAAAGCTTTGTGTTATGTGTAAGGCACAAAAGGCCTTATGCTAACGTACAAAAGATCCGATTCCCTACATTTAGAGGGGTATTTGGATTCAGATTTTGCGGGAGATGTAGATGACAGAAAAATCCACATCAGGGTATGTATTTACTCTCGCTGGAGGAACTATATCGTGGAAAAAGCTCCAAGCAAACCGTCACTGCATCGTCCACGATGTATGCCGAGTTTGTAGCTTGTTATGAGGCCACGGGGCAGGTGAACTGGCTAAAGAAATTTATGCCCGGGTTGAAAGTGGTTGACGACATACATAGACCACTCAAGTTATACTGCGACAATGAACCAGCAGTAACTTATGCTTACAACAATAGGTTAAGTAATGCTGCCAAACACATTGACATAAAGTTCTATGTTGTGAAAGACAAAGTCCGGGATCATGCTATTAGTCTTGAGCATGTAAGCACAAAGAAGATGCTTACGGATCCGTTTACAAAAGGCTTACCACCTAATGTGTTCAGAGAACACTTAGCCGGCATGGGTTTACGGGAAAGTCTATGATTCCTGAACAATAAGGGCCTAGATGAGAATCTGTTTCAAAACAGAGAGGTGTATTGTAGCTATTAATCCAATGGCACTGACTGTTGTGACGAGGCACACTCTATGCGCTAATCTATGATGAAATGGAGAAAAGATATAAGTATTTTAAGTTTAAGACAAAATGTGAGATCAAGAGGGAGAATGTTAGGTTGATCTCTCCACTAAGATTGGCCCAACGGCCAACTTCGGCCTTGATCCCGCGTCCTGATCGGGGGCGTCCAACCCTACATGGTTGGTGGGCCACCGTCGCACTGCGCTATATAAAGAGGTGGGGGCCGGCGGCTCAAGGTACGAGGTTCACCGGTTGCCACAGTACCCCACCGACAGAACCCTAATCCGATCTAAGGGAGCGCAGCAGCGACGGGAACCGCCGCCACCGTCCTCCTCGACTCGCCGCCGCCTGGACGCCGTCGTCACTGAACTGCGTACCCCTACACCGACACCCGCGTCATCAACACTGACGCCATGGCCAGCTCATCCGCTAAGTCCACTGATGGTCAGCCACTTCTCCCCCCCCCCTCTCTCTCTAGTTCTTGTTTTAGATTTGTTTATCCCAATGTTTTTCTAAACGCTAAACGGTAAACAGTCGGTCACTTACCGTTTAGCCATTATTCGGGCTAAACAGTCCATTAAAAGGGCTAAACGGCCAATTAAACAGGCTAAACAGATGATTAAGCGGAAACGACGTACCATTGTGTAGCGTTTACATGGTGTTTAAACGGGCTAAACAGCCGTTTAGGCGAACAGTGCTTTATCCAAATGCAAGTGAATACACCCACTAATCTACACCTAGTCGATCCGCATGTTCTATCATTTCTATCAGTGGAGGCTCAGCTCAACCCAAGTTCCGTATCAAATATGTGGTTCATGTTATAGGTGATTATTCGATGTGACCTTTGTTTTTCTTCTTATTAAGCTTCAGCATTTTGGACCAGACAACATGTGGGCACGTGGCTTTCATTTTTTTTAAGCTGACTAGGTTTCGTCTAGGATGCAAAATCCTTTTACTTTCAAGTTTGATACTAGCATTTATATAGTGGATTGATGTAGACTCCTTGCTGCTAGTGCTGTGCGTTTGGAACCATTTCCTGAAATTTATATACTCATGTGGATGTTCTATTAGAATATGAAATCTGCGTGTGTGAATAATATGAAAATAATAGGTGTTGATTCTTCTGATTATCACTACCAAAAAAAACTATTTATTTCAAAATTGTGTACTTTGGTTTATCTTGGGCTCTTGGCTATTAAATAGCGGGAACACTATGTGTCAAATATTTCGAATCTATGTTCATAATGTTAACAAATTTATATGTTTGGTATTGATTCTTGTGTCCATCATGCTTCTTCTTCTTATTCTTCTTTTTTTTTTTCCAAACATCTTCTATGTGTTTGTGGATATTTGTACCGATACTGATAGTTACGGGTTCAAACTGGTCCCGCATTTGATGTCTCTTGTGTTTGTCATGTTTTTACATTGGCACAGGGGAGGGGATCATTGCATCTTTTTTTCTGTTTTTAGCATATATGACATCGCAGATAATATGCAGGGCTGACACAAATATGCTCAGTCAACTAGGCCACCACAAGAACACCACTCTCGATACTGGGAATAGAAACATGTCAGACTAGTTTGCTGACTGATGCTTAACAATCAATAACAAGTGTTGTACACCTTAACTAAGAGGTCTTATTCTATAAACTATCACTGTACATATATACAACTGTCATGACTCAATAGTACTCAGTAACTTTGTGCGCTATCATACTGAAAAATACAAAACTTGGAGGTATCATGCTAAACCCACGCTATCCTTCTCCCAGATTTGCTAGCGAAAGCATACGGCACAATGAGATGTAGCATCTTATCCATGCTAATCTCAAATAAGATGGCCCAGCACACAGATATTGTGATGAAGCTTCGAAATAAGTTGGTTTTGCAGTAGAGGGGCAACCAAGTGATCTGATTAGCTCATGGACCGGTAGGACCTTGAATTTCGTTGGTGGATTCATTGCGACATTGTGCACCTTATGCTCATAGATCTTGCCATTCTTGTCAAGTTTATAGACAGAAGCACCATCAAAGCGGCCATGCCCATCCCAAGGTACTCGAGGAATGCCGTGGGCAATCCAGCGAATCATGATCATGTTCTCAGCAGGCTGCCATATACTGACTATATCAACCCACAATGCTTTGAAGAAGATCCGGCCAGTAAAACGAAGCGCCCAGAATATCCTTTTGTAATTTTCCAGGCCCTTGAATGTATTCAAAGGATCTTGGAAGACAATGTCATCTCTAAAAAACAGTAACAGATATAATTAGGAAAAGATAAAATGATGGGACAGAAAAGGTAACAAGTTCAGATAGAGCATTGACATACTGTAGACTACTTACTGCATATCATAATTAGTTAAGTGTGACACAAGTAAAGATCTTACTTGGTACTAGGTAATCCAGAAGTACATAGTCTTTTTTCTCTTTACCTTAGTTAACAATCATAATTCTTCTGGCTAAGTGTACTTTCAATAAAATAAAGTTAAGCAAATACTCAGGCACAGTGCTACGTTGCATTAAAAAATCAAATTGTCCAGCCCAAGAAAAATATATACAAGCAGCCATGCACTATGATAGCTGTCGTGTAACTCTTTTCCTGTTAATGAAATACAGGCTTAAAACCACGTTCGTGAAAAAAAAAAGACATGCGCTGTGAGAAGGTTGTTTTTCTGAGGTATATTGAGAAGACAATGGTGCAGCACAATAGAAGCCTAGAAATGGAGAAGTATGCCTAGTGTAAGTTCCCACCTGAGTTCTGGATTAAACAACCAAACAAATGGATATAACTATATGGGGAAGTAAAGGCCATGTTACTTGGAGAGAAAAAAATCATGTCTCAAAACAACTATAAAAAGGCATAAACCCCTATAAAAAAAAAAGAGCGCCACAAACAATGTATGGCTGTATCTAACAGTCAGACAATCAGTAAGATAAGAGGCCCCTTGTTGAGAACTAAACTCTAATAACAGAAAGGAAAGGGGACAAATAGCAACCAATAGTAATAGCACAAACACACGAAAACAAACTGAAACAGGATGTCATATCACAATAACTCCAATAATAAGACAGCATATCTAATAAAAAATCTAATGCATGGAACTGGCACCATAGGATGTCGTATCACAATAACTCCAGTCAGCCAATCCACATCTAGTTCATCGTGGGGAGGACCGACTCAAAATCAACGGTATAGGAGTACAGATTCATCACATACAGCCTGTTCCTTGAAAAATACTCCCATTCTCCAAGCTAAATAACACGACTCTATAAACAAGAACCCCGATCATATCCATAGAAAGCACATATCCTAATCAACATTACATAAGAAGAAATATATAGGCTTCATTTCTAGTGAAACTCTTCAGATGCTTGGTGGGCGGTGGCACCACCACCAACAGCGCTGCCCATGTCCTCCATTCCGACTCAAAAGCTAACCACTACATCAACAATCAGAGGTAGTCTAGCTAAGCTAAACTATCACTTCCAGGGAAAAGGGAGGTCGTGAGACAGGGTCTGACTTCCCAATCAGTCAACAAGCAAAATATTGAGGCCCTATGCAATACCCACCATGACTTCTGAAATATTTATAACTGCCGCTTGTCCCATCTCATTCTGAATATACCCAAGTCTATATACAAATCTGTCCAGTGACATGGCAGCTAGTGCAGATCACAAGCCATATGGGAAGGCAGAGTAAGCTTGTGTATACACATATTCTACCAAGAACTAGAAGGTAGTTTACAGCGACAAATCTTTAGTAGGTAAGTACAGAAAAGTCTCCTTAACAATAATCAATTGAAGCATTCATCACTGATGGAAAAAAAACAGTTTTTTCAATTGGAACCCACCTAATTAAATCATCTCAATCGAGTCCAACCAAGAAAAAAAAAGACAAAACTTTGATGAGTTCAAGAGGAGGAGGTCGAATCGAACCTGTAGATGTCGAAGCTGGGCTCCTTGTAGAGCACATCGGGGAGCTCCTCCCTGAGCGTCCGGATCGCGTACCCCACGTTGAGGTAGTACCTCTGCCTCTCCTCGTCGTCCTCGTCCCCGCGCCTCCGTGCGGCCGGCGGCGACTCGGACGGCATGGCCGGCGCGGCGAAGAGCGGCGGCAGCGGGACCGGCATCCGGCCGTCCCGCACGGGGTCAGCGACCCTGATCACCCGCCCCCTCGCCTCCCCCTGCTTGACACGGCCCCCCGCCCCCGCCGCCACCGCCACGCCCCTCCTCCTCCCCGCCGGCGGCCGCGCCGCCGCGAGGTCCGGCAGGTGCAGCAGCTGAGCCATGCCTGCCTGCGTGATGCTCCGGTGGCTAGATAGAACTAGGAGGACTGGAGGAGAGGAGAGGAGAGTGTGTGAACTGTATGAGAGGGGAGAGAGGTGTCATTGCACATAGAGATATATACACACTACAAAGTAATACTAGTAAAAATAGGAGTAGATAAATAAATACTAAATAAAGGTAATGAGTGGATTTGTGTCATGCGTCAGATGGCGCGCTTTTTGTCCCGATGCGCCGTGCGCGTCTCTCCCTCTCCCGGAAATTGACTGACACTATGAATATCTCTATCTGTAGCAGGAGGCAGGTTTGGTCATAGACTAGTACAGTACGTACGTCTCGTCATCAGGTACAAATGAAACGGGCATCGTCGTGCGCCGCGACGTCGTGGACCTTGCGGCCGCAAACGCGAGGTGGCTCCAGGTGAGGCCACGACGCCCGGTATTATGCCTAATATAATCGTCCACAGGAAAGCCACGAGAGCAGAGAGGTTAGTTGACAAACCCTTCCTTTTTAAACCTGCTGGAGGTTCATCAGTTCCTTTCACCCAACTGACCTGATCGATAGATTGGACTAGTCTCATACATACATTATTACTATTATTTGGTGTTGTTGAGCTAAGATATTTTTCTACCGTGGACCAAAACAAATTAAAGATGCTATTGATGCTAATATGGTTGTTCATTTACATTTTGCTTACAGTGCTTATCCAGATTCATGTCTAAACTGATACCCTTTTTTCAATGCGTACATGACCAAGCAGGTGCTCCCTCCATTCTAAAAAGAAAGAAAGACGTTACGGGACATGTAGGTCAAATTTTTTTTTTAACTTTGACTATGTTCATAGAAAATACATGCAACACTTATATCTCCAAATAAGATTATTATAAAAATATATTCAACGCTCTATTTAATGATATTAATTATGTATTATAAATATTAATATTTTTTATATATAATTGGTCAAAGTTTAAAAAAAAGGTTGACTTCTCGGACAATAATTCTCAAGTCGCCGTCTACTACTTGCATGCAAGAGCTAAAAATAACTGATGAGATACAAGGTTATTACGGTACTTTTCAAAAGGAAATCAGGAAATGTATGTAATCCGCAAGCAAGCAAATCGAGGACGAGGACGCGGCGCAAGCTGAAGACTGCTGCTAGCTTGTTCACACACGTACACAGAGCTAGGATAAGACGGAGTGATGATATGATGGCGATGGTCGGTGCCGCAGCCGGTGGACGACGACTTTGCTTTCCTAATTCCTGGCCGTCAGTTGGTGCGTCGGTGTTGCCTGCCTTCAGCCGGATTTGATTTTATGGTCAATTGCATGCATTATTATATTGCATTGCATGCGTCTCTCTCTCTCTCTCTCTCTCTGTTCCTGGACGGAGGAATGCATGCTTTGTGTTCGTGCGTCATACCATGTACCAGAATGCAAAGCGAAAGGCCGGACTGGACCATGCTTTTCCCAAAAAGAAATAAAAAAAGGTAGGTTTAGTTTGTGATCCATGCATGTAGCAGCAGCAGCGCGATGATGCATTGTCACACAAGGCGGGCGGCGGGGCCACTCGGCTGGTCCTTGAAGTACGTATTTGATTGAATCGAGCGGCCCTTTGATCAAATCAAACTATCAAAGTAGTTACAAAATGTTAGGACGGTTTCCTCCTTTCATTACTTTTGTCACCATCGTTCAAGATTAGAAATGATATTCACCCTGTTTGTTTGGGCTGATTTGGCTTATAAGTTATGGCTGAAAGTACCGTTGGCTGGTTTGGTGTGAGAGAAAAATATTGTTCGTTGGCTGATAAGCCATGACTTATAAGCCAAATACAATAAAACGAACAGACCGATTACTCAATAGACCCGATCCAAATCATAAGAAACCTGGCCTAAAACAGCCCAAAATTGGCACAGTTTTGGCCCATCTAATCAAGCCCATGGAATCCTATGGGCAGGCTTGGAGCGCGGGGAAAAGGGCTGGCCTATATATATTATACAAATTAAAATATGAATTTGATTTATTTTTCAATGTAAAAATCATGGAACCCACTTTCTATTGGCGTAGGTTGTGAGTTATGTGCTGTGAAAAAATTGTAAGCTGTTTGATTAAAAGAACCTATAAAGCCTACCATGTCTCTTTTATCTCCCTTGAAATAGTTATAAAACGTCTCTTTATTTCCACCCGTTTAGTAAAGCGGAAATCTAAAAGTCAAAAATAGGGCTTAAGGTGCCGCGACAATTGTACAAACACAGCTGCTAAAATCAACCTAGTTTTACCTATTGTTTGGCTTTCTGCTTTTTTGCAGCAAAAGCACTTTTCAAAAGTTAAACTAAACATAGCCATACTTTTGTACCCAAATTGAACGAGCAAATTCGGAGCACAAGTTAGACTATTCCATCCTTCTCAGTATATTATGCTATCAAAGATCTACTAGTACCCACATATCAATTGTTGCTTTTTATTAAATTTAGTTATGCGTATCATAGTGTTGTAGAAGACAGAGCAATCTCAAACACAAGTTGTATCATCTCGATGTAACTATCATGTTATCATTGAACTTTTTTTTGTAAAAATTGAGACAAGAGCGAGCTTGAAGAACAATAAGGAAAAAAGGACTAGAAGTTGGTTCAAGCTCTTGTCAAAAGTAGAAGGATCACACTGTTGACATTGTATTGGATGCCTAAGATGTCGAGGACGCTGTGGAAGCCAATCTGCATGAACGTCTACAACAATAACTTTAACCGGTCCCTATTGAGACACTGTGTCGTTTGTTAAACCATGCGGCGTAGTTGGGTGTTCGATGAGGATTGTATCTTAATGCTACTGTGTTAGATTTTTTTAAAGTTGTCCTTAGTTGGTATGTTATTTATAAATTAATTATAATGTTTTCAAATCTTGTAATTATCGGGACTAATACTAGGATACCCAAAGAGAAGGAGCTAATGGTCATCAAAATTAATTCATTCGAGCAGTCAAGAGCGCGACTACAGCTCGAACCGACCCCAAGTGTGCTGGCTCCGCCTCGCACGACCTCTAGGGGCGGGCTCCGCCTCGCTCGACCCCGAGGCCACGGGCTCCGCCTCATCCGACCCCAAGGTCGCGGGCTCCGTCTAGCCCGACCCAAAGGCCGCGGGCTCCGCCTTGCCCGACCCTTGGGTTTGCGCTCCGCCTCGCCGACCCCGAGACCACGGGCTCCGTCTCGCCCGACTTCAAGGCCGCGGGCTCCACCTCGTCCGACCCTTGGGTTTGCACTCCGCCTCGCCCGACTGGGTCCCATACCGCCGCCAACCACTCTAGATCCAGGCGTATGGGCCTAGGTCAAAACTCTAACACCAAGAAAGAGACCGACACACCCCGACGTAACCCGTGGCCATGATGGGCCATACCTGAGGATTCACATCAAGAACAGCGTCGGGCGTGCCGGTGTTATTCTGCCTAACCCTCGTACGAACGCTGACAGACGCGTCAGCTCACCACGACGTCCGCCAGAACGGAATGGAGCGCCATGATCGGCAGACGACGCCTGCGCATGGCGCTAGTGACGGACAGGGCCACGACGTGGAGCCGTCCCTGTTGACATCTACAGTGTCGGCGGGACCCACGTGAAGGAGAAGAAGGACCCAACGATCCTAGAAGCCTTCTCTCTCTCTCTTTCTTCCCCTTTCCCTCCGCTATAACCCGCGCTTTCCCTTGGCCTATAAAAGGGAAAGCAGGACGTCTCATGAAGGAGAGGCGATTCAAGCCGGATAGACCCGATCGACCCATCGATAGATCGAGCCAGATACACACAAGCGCACGGCTGAGTAGCGACCGAGCTCTCAGCACCCGTTCACTCCTTTCACCAGAGACTTGGGACATGTCCCTCTCTCGCCCGTTTGTAACCCCTACTATAAACTTTTAGTGCTAGTAACACGAGCAGCAGCAACGAACTGGACATAGGGACTTTCTGCCCAAACCAGTATAAACCTCGTGTCCCTAAGCACACCATCCGAGCTACACGCACAATACTAGAAATTTACTCATCGGTGGTGACTCGAAACGCCAACAGTTGGCGCGCCAGGTAGGGGCCTTTTGCGCGTCTCGACGTCCACATCAGGCCTCGGATGGCTAGTCACAACGTCAGCTGGGTCCCAGGCGCGCACGTGCGCTTCGGGAACCTAGACTTCATCGTCACGACGGAGAGAGAGTTGATGTGGGCTCCCATCATCGTCCAACCTCTCCACTCCGCCGGCCTCGATGCGATCGCCGAGGCGCTTGAGGAGCTACAGCTGCACGCACCGGAGGCCCGTGCCCCCGGGAGCGACCAGCTCCTCGGCTTCGACTACAGGAGGTTAGAGCGTCAGCTCGGCGCCTTCCTGGGACCCCGATCATCCCGGGAGGACCTGGGCCGCCTCACCTTCTCGTTTGTCAATGTCATGACGTAGCATACCGGAGGAGAGCCCCTCTCCCCGGAATACCTTGTCCGGAGCGCCCCGACGACGCTCCCGTCCCATCTGTGCAACGTCACAGAGACCGTTGGCCACCTTATGGCGTAATGCACTCCCCCACCTCCTATGAACGATGAGTTCATGGGGATGACCGAATATGTCATGGAGTCTTTCCACGACCTCCTCGTAGGAGAGTCAAAGTCGCCATCTAGCTCTGACTCCAGCAGGGAGAGCCATCACCTCTCTTGTGAATGTTTCATGGCAGGTACCCCCGAGGGACACGTCGAAAGCATCCACGAAGAAGAGGCTACCCCAATGAACGACCTCGATAATGAGGTCAAGAGGGATGCAGGGGCCCCACCTCGCCTGCGGGTGGAGCAGCTGAAGGCCCAGCACCAAGAGCTTGAGGAAGCATGACTCTAGCTCAAGCAGCAACGCGCGAAGCTCGAGCGAGAGATCAAGCGCCATGGAGGTGGTGGGCGTGCGTGGGCCTTGGCCTGCAATGTGAACCGGAGGATCATCGAGGATGATGAAGCCCTCCCACACTTCACCCGGATGAGTCAGAACATCGCTGCTAT